CTCTCTCTCTCTCTCTCTCTCTCTCTCTCTCTCTCTCTCTCTCTCTCTCTCTCTCTCTCTCTCTCTCTCTTTCTCTCTCTTTTCTCCCCTCGTTTCATATCGTTTCGGCGTCGTCACAGCGTACTTACTTGCTTACTCGCTGGCAGGGAAGTCCGTGACACCCGTTCGGCCCGCCGCCGTCTCGATGCCGGCCGATTTCCTCTTCTTCTCGCGTGTAGTTGGCGCGTGTTGGCGGTAACGCGCGGCGCGGTATCAGCAGGAACAAGCGTGTTGCACGCCAGTGTGTCGTCGTATCTCCTTTCGTGCTCGTCGTCGTGAAATACGAAGTAGTAATAGAAGCGCCGACGATGCCGAGGGCACGTCGTACGAACGCGTGATCGCCGCGGTTAGCCTCTCAGAGAGACCGGGACGAAGCAGCGTGTGATTGTCGTCGCTGGACGAATTTTCCTCGTAATTACGGAGAGAGAAGGAAAGAAGAAGAGAAGAAACAAACGACTAGAATTTAACGTAGGAAGGCTCGCGATTTTCGAAAGCACGCCTGACTCGTTTCGAGCTTGTCGAAATCGTCAGCGCCGGAAGAGAAGGAAGGAAAGAGGCGAAGATATTACAGGGATCGGACCGTGTCGTCTGGTATGCTTCGAGGTCTTCTCAGCAGTTTCCTCGGTACATCGATAATCACTTGAAAAATCGTTGGAACAACACAGTAACTCGCGTGGTGAGCACGCGTTCTCCCTGAAAACGTTTCAACGAGTATATATTTTATTTTTCGCGAAGGTTCGTCGGGAATGTTGGCCAAACCTTGACACCTACGTCCTACGGGGTCTGTTTTGTTGTTGTACGTTGGTTCCAAACTCGTTGACATAACAGCTCGATTTTTCATTAAACCGTCGTGACGCTTGCGAGTTTGCGAGACAGTTAGGAAAATACTAGTTTCGAGACGATCGTTCGTTTAAATGTCACGTGTGTGTTGAAGAGATACGTGAATGTCTCGTGGCTAGTTTAAAACTAGTAAACTTCAGATTCCTCAGTCGTAGAAAAGAAACCGGAAGTAGAGGAATCTCTTCGGTTTTCTAATTATTTAATTTTGACTTTAGTTCGAATATTCTCTCTTCGAGTAAGTGTCTTATATAATATATATAAAAAAAAAAAAAATGTAATAATTCAAGGTTTGCGTGATATTCCATTCCCGATTTCGACTCGTCACAAATGACATTGAACAGAGTACAGAATGTTAGGTTGAACGAAAAATTGGTACGTTTTCATTTTCATTCTGCTGTGTTGCTTCTACACTTGCTAAGTGTGTGTGTGTGTGTGTGTACATTTTTGCATCTTTAAATTTCCCACGATCAGAGGATTTCGCTCAAGAACTCGTGGAACGTTGGAAATTATACTATGAATTAACTTCTTTTTTTTTTCTTTTTAGTGAGTATAAGAACAACATAGCGGAGTGAAATAAAATGAGGACACGACAAGGTCGATTTTCTACTTTTTACAGATAAAATTTAAATCGTAAAACTTAGTTACACGTCGAATCTGACTTTGAAATTAGACACGGATTTGTTTCACGAAAATATATCGACGATACCTTATCTTCCACGAGGCTTCGTCAACTCGCCATTTTAAAAGATACATACATCTCTAAATTTAACAAGTTAGTTTTGTTTCGTTTTTTTTTTTTTTTTCATTCGATTGTAAAATGATTGTAAAATGCATTCGATTGTCGCACGATGTAAGAGTCAAGTGAGAAACTTTTTTAGATGCCAGAAAAATAGTCAGAAGTCGCCGGACGAAAACGCAATTTCTCGTTTAACCGAACAAAGAGAATGCGACGAGTCGAAGTATAAATTCGGTCGAAATCGAAGATAAATATTCTACGAAAATATTCTTTCAAGAAATTCTTGTTTCAAGCTCCACAGATTGATTTTCCAAAGTGCTTTTCGCTCCGCAGTTCTTCTCTTTGTTCCCGTTTTCGTTGGCTTCACGTTCGCTGTAGTAACACGCCGATACCTCCATCTCGGGTCCATTTTCACGGATCGGGCTCAGCAACGGTGGTGGGCTGACATTTTTCGAGCGATTCGTTTCTTATACGT